TATTAAAGCAAATATCCAATAAAATTCAATACAAATAGGCATCGGCATGGAGAGATCTATGCGAAATGTATTTCGAATTCAATTCACTTTCGATACATTTTGACTGGACAAACAAACTCAAATTGGTTTAACAGTTTTTAGATCACTCTCTCCTCTTCATTTTTAAGGCCGTCGATTGTGAGAAGAGGAATAAACCATTTTTCGGTCCCAAACATTCAACAAAAAAAATTGCAAACAAACATATTGGCAATTTTTGCTAACAAATCGAAACCCGCACACTCGTTCGAACCACAAAAACTCGAGGCAGAGAAAAAGGGGAAAGACTGATAAAAAAAAATAAATGGAACAAAATTACGTTTGGCTCGGGACAAGGTTGAGTTCCTCATGAAAACTAATTCTGACTACTAGTTAAACTGTTTTTCTATTCAACTTCTTCTTTCATATGCATTTTTAAACGGTTGCCCATTAAATTCTATTACTTGTTTGCTCTGTATGTATATAATGGGTTCTATTGGCTGTCCCAAGAAATTCAAACATTGAACTCGTTCGGAGCATATTTCCAGACATGTTAAAGTTTTTCGATAGTACGTATACGGTCGATGTATGGTTGGAAACATCCACATATAACGTTGTCATTCGTTTCGGTGGCACCCGTTATTTTATTCTTTGGTTATTCGATAGATTTATCCAACTAATTTGAGCCAAAGAAACGACAATGACGATGAAACGAAACGAAGAAAAAAAAACGAGAAATTGAAATAAGGAGCAAAGGTTCAAAATCCATACAGTCGTAATAAAAAGCGATGGCCGACTGCATAGAAAATAGCAAAAAACAATACCAATAACCGCTTTTGCCTTTTGTTTGACTGACGAAAAAACTGAAGTGCCATGAAATAGGCACAAGAAAGAAAGAAAACACAACAACAACAATGAATTGAATAAAAAGAATGGACATCTTATGAATAATTTATATTTGTTTTTACCGAAACACACGATTGCCGGGCAACAACAACGACAAAAAAAAGCAGAAAAAAGTGAAAACGAGACTCGTTGACTCGGCTTGCGTATGTAATGGACGAGCGGCTTTATGACAAAAACCTAACACCCACACCAACCGATGAGCATTGAGCATACCATACGCCAAACGGTAAAACCATGAAAATGTGCTCAAAACCATAAATAAATTTAATTTGAGAAAAAAAAAACGACCAAAACAAAATGTGCAAACTAAAGGCAACCTCTAGAAATGTGCGCGATAAATTTGATGAAACTTTTATTGTCTCAACATTTACACAGAATCTTGTTTCTGCTGGACTAGAAAACTTTAGCCACGGAATCAAAATACTGCTGCTGCAAACCTCTGTCACTCCTTCTCTGTATCTCAAAGGAAACAAGGGCTGGAATTCTAAGTCATTCCACCAAAATCGTTCGGAATTATTTTTTCGTACATAAGACCATATTGGAGTGAAAGAGAGAGATTCCACTATTTTTCAGCTTCCCACCGGAATTATTTCTCACACAATCCACTGTTCCTTGAGTTACAATCCACTCTTCCTTGAGTTATCGGAATAATTCCGGTGGGAAGCTGAAAAATAGTGGAATCTCTCTCTTTCACTCCAATATGGTCTTATGTACGAAAAAAATAATTCCGAACGATTTCGGTGGAATTCTTAGAATTCCAGCCAAGGAAGCGCGTTTCCCATCTTTGTCTTGTTATTATTTCTGCATATAATTTCAAGTTTGGCATGTTTGAGAATTTGTGGCATTCCCGTTGTGATACGATTCGGACGCTACGATTCGCTGCTGACTTTTATAAATTATGAGTTTTTGATGACTTGAAATTATGGCATTGTTTCTTGCGCATTTCTTTTTTTCCTTCTTTCTCTATCGGTTTGTCGAGCGGTTTGTTTGCGGTTGATGGTAACTTTTAATTGGCTCAATGTATTTTTTTTTCTATTTATTTATTGTTTTTGTTTGCATTTTTGATTTTCGCTCTTTCATCACCCTCATCAATACCATCCCCGTTTTGGTTGTGAGACTTTTGACATGGTGATGTATTGGAAAAATTCATGTGAAATTTTAACTATTTGTTGATTTATAAGCTTTGTTTCATAACAGCTTATCAGTTGGCCTCGTTTCCTTCGTTCATAACATTCAACTAACTGCGAGTTTGCAGAAAACTTTGCTGTGTTTTTTTTGTTTTATGTCGATCCGAAAATTTTTAGAAATAAACAAAATTCCATGCAGAAATGGATAATATATTTATACATCATACACGCATATACATTGGAGAATCAAAATACAATATTGAACACGTTCAAGACGTCGATCAGTGTTCTACTTGCATGAATTTATTTTGCATAATAATCAGTCCGAAATGTATTCTTGTGCCATCAAAGATGAATATATCAGACAAATATTTCCACATTTGCATCTAGTTGTTTCACTGCAAAATCATGTTTACATTACAGATATTTTTTGGGGAAATGAGAGGGTTTTGTTTGGTGATTTCCTTATCGAACACAAAATTGTACACACTTGAAGATTCCCGCCGATGAGATGAATAAGATGATTTCGAATGAAACTGAGATGATTCGCACAAATTTTTATCCTTGAATGGAATAGTTGACTATTCAATGAATTTTCTTTCCAATTTCGTCTAATTTTGTGTTCCGAATTCCCACTAATTCATATCAAATTATACTTAACAACAATTTCAGTCTTGTTTGTGTCTCATCAATCCCAAACTATTCACATTAATCCTAGAGGGGAGACAGGAAATTTAAATGAGTAAAATTAGAACATTATTCAACGATAATAGGAAAAATAGAAGAAATTAGTGAGTTTGGTTTGCCAATGTTAACGCTTATGGACGTATTGTTTATTTTTTACAAAATAATCCCGTTAGGTCTTCCATAAGCGTTATATTAACAGTGTAATACGCTCTGCAACCGATTTTAATAGAAATAATAGCACAGTATTAGCACTTTTGCATCAAGACTAGAAAAATTAGAGGACATAAAGCAAAAATATATGAAATTGAATGTAACTAGACTCTACTAGAATTTGTGTCTCGCCCCTAGCATTAATCTATATTGAAATTAATTTGCTCTCCATCAATCGTTGAACGAATCTGTTGCCAAGTTTCGACTATCTTATTACTCGAAAGTGACCGTTTGTTCGGTTCGAGTATGTTCATTATATTTACGTTCACAAATATTGATGCTTATGAAAGTATCCGTTTCGAAGAAAAGATATTATGAATCGAGCATATACCCCAATTTTTCGAATACTTAGTTTAAAAAAAATTCATGAAATTGTAATAGTCTGTAATTTTTATGCTTTTTTATGGAAATTCTTCTCATTTGGTTGTACACAGACTAACAATTTATTGCATGATGAAAATGATGAAAAACGGAATGCATTGCAACTAAACCAAATTTTTGATTTCTCTCGTAAAATTTTCAGAACATCTGATTCAGAAGTCCGAAGCATCGTTGTAAATCGGTATCATTACATCGCAAAAAAAATCGAAGCGTTCTCTCGTTTCTGGATGTGTTTTATTCATGATGAATAGTTGAACAAATATTTTAGAGACAGAATATATGAGAATAATGCTGATGAATTCAATCCGGATAATTTTTTTAAATGAAAAGGTTCAATCGTCTCATCCATATGCTTTCTTACTATTCCTTATCCTTTCAATTTGACACCCGTTCCAGAATACATTTTTGGTCTTGAAAATACGTGCATGCATGTATAAACATTTGTTTCCTATATTGACAACTGCTCACAGGTACTGCATATAAGCGTCTGACAGCTCACTTCTAGCGCTGCGAAACAATGTTTACTACAAACTATTGCATCTTTTTTATATTTGTTAATAGAGTAGACAAAAAAAATGTCACGAATGTGCAAAATTGATTATTGTGAGAGCGTAGCAGGTGATAAACATCAATTTTATAAGTAAAAAAATGTTTTTTTATTACAGAACATTGTTGATGAGTTCATTCAATCGCGTTCATTAGTGCGTTTAACGACGTAAACGAATAAAAATAAACTTCACTGAATGAGCTCATCGCAAATTCGTGTTTTACTTTGTTTGGTTGGTGTCATGCATAGGTTGCGCAACTGCTACTTGCGCTAACGCATATATATACTTTATATCATTTGCAGCGACAGTACATTGTGCAATCTTCAAATAGCAAAATGGATAAGACGAAAAAGAATCGACTACTTGATCCAAAGCTGCTCCCGCTGTGTTGGTCACAATGTAATAAAATAACCTGTTTTACGCGTAGTTGTCTCTTCTCCACTAAATGTTAACAAGGAATAGAAATTACCTTGGGATCGTGAATACGATATGAATTAAAAAATAATAGGTAATAATCTGGGATTTCACAAAAACATGGCGTATCCTTTCATATGGCATCGATTCCAATTACACTATTGAATCCCATTTAATTTGCGCTTAATTTGTTCGAAGTCCAAGATCTATTCACTATTAACCCATTGGTCGCGATGATGCCAAATGATCGCAAATCTGAAATATACTCATGAGTAGATATGACACCCACGAAAGAATGCCTATACGACTATAGATGCCAATCGGAAAAAATTTCAACGAGTTTTAACGCACTCATCATATTTCATATACAAACTATTATTATTTTGACACATTTTTCTTAAAAAAATCAGATTCATATTCACGAACTTGTTTCATTCCACTCTTATTTTTAGCAGAAAATTCGAAAAACATGTGTCAGCTGAGGTGGGTTAATAAACTTCGGAAAGAAATATGCCCAGTTTAAGTCTTCGTTCTTCAACTTTGAAAACGAATAAAAATGTTCAATATATTTCGCGCGAGTCATTTACCAGTTTTTCTCTCCAGATCTTCTGCTCATTATTATCAAGCACTCCAAGAATAAAAAATAATAATACGAAAACGCATATCCCATATTTTGTGTACGTTCAGTTGAATTGTAACCATTTCAGAATAAACATCTTCCTCAGAATTGTGAATCTAGTCGATAAAAATGATTTTAGAGACAATATTTGTGATGTTGGTGATGTGGCTCATTGTTAAGTACATTTTGCGGATGCTGCATACCGAAAGTTATGTGAAACATTTGAAATTTGGTGGCACATTTATTCCGTTCTTGGGGAATGTTCTGAGTCTAGTAGGAAAATCAAAAACTGAAATATATAAAGAGTTTGTTCGATCTATAAAAGAAACAGGGACGCCGTGTAAAAGGTACATCGGTTCTAACTTATGCATTTTCATCGACAAACCAGAAGATGTGAAAGCAGTCTTGACGCAATGTCTGGATAAACCATTTGTTTATGGGTTTATGCCGTGTAAATTGGGACTCATTTTTGAGACATGTAAGTAGAAAAAATGTGCATAATTTTAAATCGATATATGATCGAGCTCATGACTTACGGTTTCTTTTTAAGCGAGCGCCATTTGGAAACCATCACGTAAACTCCTCAATCCAATATTTAGTTTGAAGAATTTGCAGTCGTCTATACACATTTTCAATGAAAAGACGAAGATGCTCGTAGAAGAAGTGGGAAAAGAAGTTGGAAAAGACGCATTTGATATATTGCCGTACGCACATGCTTGTGCTTTGCGTGGAATTTGGTGTAAGTATTGAATTTTCTGGGAGAGTGTTGAAAGAAAATAATGATGTTGTTAATAAAACAGCCGCTATAATGGGAGTCGACATTGATTTTAATCCTGGCCAAACAAAGGAATTCGTTGGAAGCATAAAAGGGTGATTGAATTGGTCAAAGCACTTCATTCGGATCTATTGACCCAAATTTCACATCTCAATATTCTTTTTTCGTAATTTTTAGTATTTCCGATTCAATATTCAAGCGGTGTACAAGACCGTGGACTTATATCGATTTTATTCATCGATGGACAAGTCTATACAAAGAAGAGCAAAATCACTATGCTAAAGTGCGAAACTTAACGAATCAGGTAAATGTTGCAAATATGCAAATGTCAAACTATATCTCTCAAAAATAACTTTTTAATTTTTAGGTTTTTGAAGAGCAAACTAAAGCATATTTGGGTAGTAATATGGATAATGATAATGTTGGCTTTGAGCATCATAACATTAACAGAAACGTGCCAATTATGTCGTTGTTTTCTGAAGGGAAATTCAGTGAAGAGCTGGTCAAAGATCAGATAGAAGCTTTAATAATAGCTGGATATAATGGAACCTCCTACAAATTATCGTACATTATTTTGACGTTGGCCATCCATCCAAACATTCAGGAGCAAGTTTTCAATGAACTGCATTCGGTTTTCGATACACAAGACGAAGAAACAACTTCTGAACACATCCAGAAAATGCCACTTTTAGATCGTGTGATCAAGGAAGCTATGCGTCTATGTCCAAGCGCACCATTCATTGAACGCGTTTCTATGGCTGACGTTCAGATTAGCAATTGCCTCATTCCAAAAGATACATTTTTCATTTTGATGTTTTACACATTACATCGGGTATGACAACAACAGAAATATTCAACGTAATAATAAGTTGTACATTTTCACTCATTTGTTTTTTTCATTGCAACAAATGTTATAGAGAAGCGACATATGGGGCGATGACGCTGATGAATTCAATCCAGATCATTTTCTGCCAGGAAACGTTCAATCCCATCACCCATTTGCCTTTCTTCCCTTCGGTGGTGGCTCGCGAAACTGCATTGGTAATGCAATTTTTGTTTTGGACTGTTTATTGTGTATATTTTGAGTTAATTTCAATTCGACGAACTAATTTCAGGTAATCATTATGCAATGCTCTCAATGAAAGTGATGTTGGCGGCTCTCCTGCGCAATTATAAATTCAGCACACATTTGAAATGGTCGGAGCTTGAATATAAGTTTGAAATCACATTAAATTTATTGAATGAACATCTTGTAAAAGTAGAACGACGTAACTGGTAGCTGAAAAAATTTGACACGCATCAGTAAATATCATTATCTTGAACTTGTGCAACTCGTTTAATATGAATTATATTAAAAACTTGGATGAAATTATATGAATTATATAACATCAATTCTAAGCCAGCATTTTACTGTTGCTCTTAAATCATTTCGATTCTCAATCACTTATGTTTACCATTTAAACTGGACGTAAGAAATTTTAATCAATCTATGTATTTGATAAGATGGAAAAAAAATTGGATTGCGGGAATAAACACGCTGGAACAAAACTGTCAAAAGACAATTGGCACAAGTGAAACATGAATATCTGACGAGCAGCAATGTAACATGAATTTCGATTGTATTTTTAGAATCGCTCAACACAGTGCGATTCAAGATTCATTTTTACGAATCGGTGCCCTTATGCGATACTTGCCATTTCACTTGTATATTGCTACCGAAGAAAATGAAGAAAGATTATTTTAAAGAAGAGAAAATTTAGTTTGTTAACACAAAATTCTTTATGTGTGATTCTCTGACGTGTTACGTAATATAAATCTTTTCTTATGTGCAAAAGAGTGCACGTGTCTTCACCGTCTGTACTTATCAAAATGAGAATAATTGGGATAGGTATGAAGATATTTTTCGAAATGGGCAGAATACACAACTACATACATATGCGTCAATATTTGCATATTTTTACATTGCTTTGTGCCATTGGCAGCAACGAAGACAGTGTATGCAATAAGCATATCATCACAATGGACACAACGAAATAGCATCTACTTGATGCGTTGGTTATAACCTGTTTTAGCATTGTTGTCTCTTGCTGACTACATTTAACCAAGACAAAATGCATTGACCTTGTAAAAGTCATCATGCGGTGTGGATTATAAAAATTAATAAGAACATCACAACTCCTTCCATAAAATATCGATTCCCACTTGAAATTTCCAAGTACGATATTCAAATTCCATTTCATTTGACGCTTAACTCGTAAAAAATACAAAACCTATTCATTATCTGTTGTAATATTAACCCATTCGCCGCTACAATGCCATATGGTATCAGTGAGAAAAGTTCTGACAAATTTTTTTGAGCCAGCTATGATGGCCCCCGACTTTGAAGATATCTTTCAGCTTCTATCAGATATACAAACAGATTCATTCCAAAGATGCGTTTGATTTTTTTTTAAATTAAAGCAAATCATATTCATGTTCATTCTATGAAATTTCAGAAAAAAAAATCGAAAAAAATAAGTTTCCGCGGAGAGTGAGTTAATTAACTGGAAGCAATATGTCCAGTTTAAGCCTTCTTTCTTGGCCTCTAAAAATGAAGGAAAATGTTCAATACACTTCGCGCAAGTAGTAATTTCACTGAATTATTATAAATTGATTATTGGTTTTCTCTAGCCACATACCGGTTATTCCTTCTAGATTTTTTACTCAATCTCATTCGAGAATAAAAATATAATATAAAATGTCCTATGTTCTGTGAATGCTCAGTTGAATTGTAACCTTTTCTGAATAAACATCTTCCTCAGAATTGTGAATCTACTCGATAAAAATGATTTTAGAGACAATATTTGTGATGTTGGTGATGTGGCTCATTGTTAAGTACATTTTGCGGATGCTGCATACCGAAAGTTATGTGAAACATTTGAAATTTGGTGGCACATTTATTCCGTTCTTGGGGAATGTCCTGAGTCTAGTGGGGAAATCGCAAACTGAAATATATAAAAATTTGGTTCAGACTATAAACAAAACCGGTACACCGTTTAAAGGGTACATCGGTTCTAACTTATGCATTTTCATCGACAAACCAGAAGATATGAAAGCAGTTTTAACACAATGTCTTGATAAACCATTTGTTTATGGGTTTCTGCCGTGCAAATTGGGACTTGTTTTTGAGACATGTAAGTAAAAATTATCAACATATTGTTGAATCGATGTTCATGAGTTCCGAATCATTTTTAAGCGAGCGCCATTTGGAAACCATCACGTAAACTCCTCAATCCGATATTTAATTTGAAGAATTTGCAGTCGTCCATACACATTTTCAATGAAAAGACGAAGATGCTCGTAGAAGAAGTGAGAAAAGAAGTTGGAAAAGACGCATTTGATATACGGCCATACGCACACGCTTGTGCCTTGCGTGGAATTTGGTGTAAGTATTGAATTTGGTGAAAGAGTGTTGAAAGAAAATAATGATGTTGTTAATTAAACAGCCGCTATAATGGGAGTCGATGTTGATTTTAATCCTGACCAAACAAAGGAATTCGGTGGAAGCATAACCGGGTGAGTAAATTTATCAAACCATTTTTTTTTTTTATTCGATCCATTGATCCAAATTTCACATCTCAATATTCTTTTTTCGTAATTTTTAGTATTTCCGATTCAATATTTAAGCGATGTTCCCGACCTTGGACTTATATCGATTTCATTTATCGATGGACAAATGTATATAAAGAAGAGAAAAATCATTATGCCAAAGTACGAAACCTAACGAATCAGGTAAATATCACAAATCAAACAATTTCTTTCGAAAGACTCACTGAATAATTTTTTTTTTGATAACTAATTCGTAGGTTTTTGAAGAGCAAACCAAAGCATATTTGAGTAATATCGATAATGATAATGTTGGCTTTGAGCATTGTAACAAGAATAGAAACGTGCCAATTCTGTCGTTGTTTTATGAAGGGAAATTCAGTGAAGAGCTGGTCAAAGATCAGATAGAAAATTTAACAATAGCTGGATATGATTCAACCTCCTCCACATTGTCGTACATTATTTTGACGCTAGCCATCCATCCAAACATTCAGGAGCAAGTTTTCAATGAACTGCATTCGGTTTTCGATATACAAGACGAAGAAACAACTTCTGAACACATCCAGAAAATGCCACTTTTAGATCGTGTGATCAAGGAAGCTATGCGTCTATGTCCAAGCGCACCATTCATTGAACGCGTTTCTATGGCTGACGTTCAGATTAGCAATTGCCTCATTCCAAAAGATACATTTTTCATTTTGATGTTCTACACATTACATCGGGTATGACAACAACAGAAATATTCAACTTAATAATAAGTTGTACATTTTATCTCATTTGTTTTTTTCATTGCAACAAATGTTATAGAGAAGAGACATATGGGGCGATGACGCTGATGAATTCAATCCAGATCATTTTCTGCCAGAAAACGTTCAATCCCATCACCCATTTGCCTTTCTTCCCTTCGGTGGTGGCTCGCGAAACTGCATTGGTAATGCAATTTTTGTTTTGGACTGTTTATTGTGTATATTTTGAGTTAATTTCAATTCGACGAACTAATTTCAGGTAATCATTATGCAATGCTCTCAATGAAAGTGATGTTGGCGGCTCTCCTGCGCAATTATAAATTCAGCACACATTTGAAATGGTCGGAGCTTGAATATAAGTTTGATATCACACTAAAATTGGTGAATGAGTATCTTGTAAAAGTAGAACGACGTAACTGGTAGCTGCAATTTGATGAATATTCAAAACTTGGCAAATGTGCCGATTTGATATTGGGAAGATGGATTTTAGTTGTACTTTTTATGTAAGAATAATAATGAAAATTATGTATTGTTATTGCCCGACGGAGTATAACGGCAATTTTATTTGCCATAATGAAAATAGTAAAAAGAGAATAATTCAAGCGGTAATCAGAAATCGACGCATTCATTTTCAAGGCGACTGATATAAATTGATTCATAAGTAATTCGAGTAAAATTGCTTATGTAGCATACATAATGTTCTTGTTTTCTAGGGTGGTCACATTCGCTGTTGAAAATCAAAGATATGAATAAATACCATTCATTAAACTAATTTTTTCAGCATTATCAAGGCATTGGAGCGTAATTATTCAACTATGAACTTCATTAGTCAACCACTTGCTATTCCGCACAACAAAATAAACGTCACTGTTCGACGTGAAGGACGAGCGTATGGATAAAAAATCGCAAGAAGTTCATTAGTTACCAGTGCTTTTGCATTGGTGCGCTATTCAACCAACCGGTTAGATCGATTTGAGATCAACTACGAACAACAGGGGAGGTTGAAAGCAGGCACTGACCAAGAATGGGGATCGTGCATTTGATAGCTAATGCCCAGAGAAGAAAATTTTGTCCTAGCACTTTGCAACATAAGCCATCAGAAGCATTCAGAAATGCTACAATAATTTGATGAAAATCCAGTAAAAAGAAGCAAAACTGATGATGATGAATAGTCATTTCCACTCGGAAAATCAAGCGTATGACATTGCGACCAATCGAGCTATTCTTTAATTAGAATGGTATAGTCGGAGAGCGTATGCAAATATGTAAAATGAATACGTAGGTGCATGCGCCCTTCTGCTATACACCATATAAATGCTATATCGATACGAAACTCATCGTTATTGACGATAAACCGGAAGATGTGAAATCATGTAAGAGATATTTTAGGGGAAATGAGAGCACTTTATTTGGCGATTTTCTTATTGAACACAAAATTGTACACACTTGAAGATTCCCGCCGATGGGATGAATAAGATGATTTCGAAGGAAATTGAAATGATTTGCACAAATTGTTATCCTTGAATGGAATAGTTGACTATTCAATGATTTTCGCTCCGATTTCGTCTAATTTAGTGGTCCAAATTCTCACTAAATCATATCAAATTGTGTTTAACAACAATTTTTGGCTCTTTTGTGTCTCATCAATCCCAAACTATTTACATTAATCTATATTGAAGTTGATTTGCTTTCCATCAATCGTTGAACGAATTTGTTGCTAAGTTTCAAGTATCCGATTACTTGAAAGCTACCATCTGAATAATTGAGTATGTTCACTATATTGACGTACACAAATATTGATGCTTATGAAAGTATCCGTCTCGAAGAAATGATATTATGAATCGAGCATTTCCTCTATTTTTCAAATACTTAGTTTAAAGAAATTGTAATAGTCCGTAATTTTTATGCTTTTTTTATGGGAATCTCCCTCATTTGGTTGTACACAGACTGACAATTTATTGCAGAATGAAAAAAACTGCTTGCAACCAACTTTTTGATTTCTCTCGTAAAATTGTCAAAAACTCAAAGCATCATTGTGAATCGGTGGATGGTATCAATACATTGCAAGAATCGAAGTGTACTCCCGTTTCTGCTGTGTTTCAACTCATTTGATTTATACATTCGCTTCTACAACTCCCACTGTTGTTGACGTGATACTGTACTCAGCATTAGAACACCTGAACGGAAAATAAAGTTCGAACTGGTGCTGGAATATAAACAACGGAGACGAATATTGTGAAAGGCTTTAAGGCTTAACTGAATATGTTTTATTCATGATGAATAGTTAAGCGAAACACCTGCACACCGCCATCAACGATCGAACGAAAGATAGAAACTTAATTCAAGAATGTGTGTTTCCTATATGTATATGGTGATGTGAGATTGAAAGAGGGAAAAAGACCTTCTTCCTGGCACGATTTGATATTAAAGAATTTACGCGAGATGAATTGTTTGATGGATGAGGTTTGACAAAAGCTGACATATCGTTATGAACGGTAAAGTGGAGATATAGCTAGTACTTTCTGTCGTATTTTCCCACTCTCGCTCTCTCTCACTTTCTCACACTCCTTCAACCGCATAGAAATAAGAACGATTTTTCTCCTGCCTCATATCTCTTTGGATTCAGAGAGAAGTACGGAAAAAAGATGCGAGAAAAATAAACAAAACTAAATGCGAAGCAAGCTGTTTGACTTTAATCGTTTGCTTTTGCTTCCGTTTGGTTTGGTTTTTATTGCACACACTCGAAACTTGGTGTGTGTGGAAGGCGTCAAAGATGGTGTAAACCATTTTAAGATCTATCACAACCACTCACGAATGTGAGCGGGAAAAAGAAGCCACCGAGAAGTGTGGATGATACTTTAGCCGTGAGATCAATCGTTGTGTGATTGTGCAAACCGTAATGTGTCTCCAAGCGCTTTTTGCACAAATACATTTTTCGCCAGAGTTTTATCCAACAAAGCAGCATCGGTTATTAATCAGAAGGTGGGCAGTTAATCTCCACTTGGCCCTTGTGCCACATACATATAAATATGACCGTATTTAACACGAAGTTTACGAGAAAATCGAAACGAAGATTAAACACTGAAAATGTAATCTTTTTGTGTGTGATTCGGATCATTTGCTGCTTGAATTCGCGAATTAACGCAAAACCGATTAAGTCGTGTTCGTAAAAGTTGCATGCACGAGTATTGAATAATTAACGATGAAACGGATGCGTATTATGCCAAAAAAAACAGCAAATGCTTACGCTGCTTCAGTTTTCATTGATGATCTGTTTTTTTTCGTTTGATTTGGATCCGCATTTGAAATGCACATGTGGCTTATTCACAAAAACCTTCATCAAAGCAGTGTCGTACCATTTCTTTAATCTGCTTCCATCAATGTTTTAATTACGACGTAAATGTGGTATTCTCTTGATGCCGCTCTAATCCGTACAATGTCGAACGTTTCAATCCGTTGAAGATTTATTTGCATTAGAATTTAAAACCGCAAAAAGCGAGACGAATATACGCAGCAAAAGAAAGCGTCTAAGCATCGTCTTGTTGCTTTTTCGTCAACATGTATTTGAAGTTTGTGTGTGTGTGGCATTCTTTCGAAGAAAAAGAAATTTGAAAAAGTTGCATACACACACAAATACTTACACATCTGTGTCGCTACTTATTTCCACTTCGCATTTGATGCGCTGAAAAACCCCACCGCTGTACTTGAAACAACTTGAAAGTTAAAACTTAACCCACAAACAACGTAAATAATATATGTAATAGTATGAAAAAAAACAGTGGCAAAACCATGGCAGCACCGAGATAACACGAGAACACACACATACATACACACATTTCGTCCCAAACGAAAGAAAATTGCATGCGAATCATTCCATTTGAAATTCGTATACCAAAGTTTATTCTAGCCCTATATTGTGGTTGTGCTGCTGCTCTTCAAAATTTTGCCAGTTCTCTTCGTCATCCGATGCTCGGCAAAGTGAACGGTTCGGTAGAGTTGTACTTTCTCTGAATATAATTTGTTGATGTTTAGGTGGTTTTTCCTGTGCTTTACCCCGGTTTGACGTTGATCTTGTGCATAAGACTTATTATGCATCGAAGATATGCGAATTCGGCACATATGAACGAAAACCAGTGAGTATGTGAGCCAGAGAGCGAAATATGAAGAGAGAGAGAGAGAGAGAGAGAGAGAGAGATGGAAGGAGAAAAAGAGCGGACGCAGCGCACACATTTTCCATTCTCACAAAATTCCCAACAATACCGACAAATTTTCAACTACAAACATGCAAATTCACTAACATCAACTTAATTAGCATATTGAAAATGTTTGTGCAAAAGAAGATGGCAAACAGAAAAGCAAAAGAATAAAACCTCGGTTGGTTTTTGTTTTAATACGGTGCATCGTGTTTGCTTCTCGCTATATATACGCTTTTATCCTTGACTAATATTCCCTATATATGTGAATGTGTCCGTATAGCATCTATTGAAAATGGTTTTGGTATTCGGTTTAGAGCGATTTTCGAGTGTGTGTGTGCTTTCACATCCATTTCGGTATCATCGTCGGTTGCAAATTCATTTAGACTTGTTGTGGAATGTTTTCAATGCGAAAGCAATAAAAGACATGAACCGATATGTATTACTTGCAAGCGGGCGTGGATGCGTCTTTCCAATTCGGCAGTAGAAGCACAAAAAAGACACGTCAAGAGAGAGAACATGCAAAAGAAAATACATCGTAACATCTTTTTTCTGTATCTACCAAAGCTGGAATGTTGTTGTTGGAGCTTTTGAAAGGATAAGCAAAAGCAGCAGCAGCAGCAGCAGCATAAGACTGTCAGTGATATTTGCTACACACATATTGCAATATCACCAGAATTTATGGTCGTTGTTTTTCGTGTACATTTGAATTTGTTCATTTTAAAAAGCAAACATGAAGGAGCGCACTCAAAATGCAAATGTAAAAATCTGTACTTGAAACAATAATTTCGGTTATTCGATCGAAATGGAGCACAAAAAGCCATTAAATTCACCACACTGGAAATAAAACACTTCTATATCAATAGCAACAACAGTTGATGTTTACATATCAAGTGGAATACTTTTCGCACAAGAGAGAGAGAGAGAGAAAGAGAAATCTTTTATGTATAAATTTTTTTCATCCTATGCCACAATTTTCGAGAATGTTTTGGCTAAATTTTCCTTGCTTTCAAGAGATTTTCTTTTTCTCTTTGGAGAGAGTGTTTTGTGTAAATTCAAACTTCATTGTTGGATTTCTTATGTTTTTTTTTTGCTCCTCTGTGCATTTTAAATAATTTTATTTGATGTTGGGAATAACTTTATGACCTTTGCTTCGGTTGATACTTACACTTACATTCGCATTCATTTGTTTCGAATGAATAGCGACGAATCCAAATTCGTTAGTAGTGGTTTCGGTTTTATGTTTTTATGACCATCGAAAAACTTACGATAATGTTCAGCGACATCTTGCAGATGTGAGCAAACGATAATGAATTGAATTATTATACAAATCGTGGGATTTTCT